AGGGAGGGCGACGCCCACACACAGTGTTAGTATGTTAGGGTGACGCCGAGCAGAGAAACTTGCGCGCGATCTCGCACAGCCGCGCTCCTCGGACCAGCAGGGGTCTGGCTCGCAGCTGATCCAGCAGCACTCCAGCGCACAGGAGCCCGCACAGCACATGATTTTGAAGGTGCCCATGAGGGGCGGTTCCACGGCCTGGCTGGCAGTGTGAGACAGCTCATTAGCAACAACAGGCGACGCACGACGACATGTTCTGCTTCAGCTCCTGGAGCACATCGGAGAACGCCATCGCGTGCAGAACAACTGGCGGCGAACTGAGGCACTGACCAAAGCTGTGCATGAGGGATCGCGGATAATCTTGATCCAAAACGGTTTAAGCCAAAACAGCTACCGAACCAAAACCACAAAACCGAGGCAAGGCCTCGCAAAGAAACAAAGCCGAGAGACCACAGGGAATGCTCTTGAAAAGAAACGTGACCACGGACCCCCCAGGAATCCCAGCGCTTCTGGGCCCCGCACCCACTGGCCCTCTACAAACGAAAAAGAACTCCATAGGCAAAACCTAAGCGAAGAATCAAAACCATCGGTGTTACATATGCAACTTCAGTTTCCAGGGGCCGCATTCAGGGCTCCAGGATAATCGTGCAGATAATCTGGAACAAAAAATGTTCTCCGGAAGTGGTCGAGATGTCCAGCGACCCCATTGGAAAAACGTCAAGACATTGGAGGTCGGGGGCGGAACAGGAGATGATGATAGAGTGGGAGAGGATATTCTGTTTTTGCAATTCGGGTCTCCTCCGAGAGGGGGGGGTCTGAAATAAGGGAAGACCGAAACCTCGGGGTGTCGCGAATAATCGCGATGTGAGCCTCTGTTCTCGAGTTCGGCGCTGGAGGGGGGTCGCCCTTGGAACCCAGAGCCGCAGAAAGAGACGACCCCGCGGCGAGAGACTCGTCCAGGGAACGGGGTCGCGACCCCCAGTGGTCCTAAGCGCCGCAACGCTGGGGGCGTAGGCGGGGCAGAGAGAAGGACCTCTTCCGCTCGTGTTCCCGTGCCTGGCGGCAGCACCACCTATTTGCCTTGCTCGTTACTCGCTTGGCTTGCAAAGTCCCCCCTCCCCTCTCTGCTCCACCATTGCACTCCTGCCTGAGCCTCCCTGCTCAGAAAAAAGCTCGCCTGGGAAACACATCTGGATAGGCTGATGTCGGGCGGACTTTCACGGGGAAGCAGCAAACGTGGGGGTAACTGGGGTGCAGGAGAGTAGCCCGAGAAGGGCCCTGAAGGGCCCCCAAACTGCTATCACGGCTCCAAAGGTGCTGTAAAGGCATACCTTTCTTCACCCCACGTCTACTTTTCCCCTTTTGCCTTCTGGCCAATGGCGTCCAGAATTTTCGACAGCCCACGCATGCAGCCACCAGGCCAGGAGAGCTGGGACACAGCAGGCTTTGCCGGCCAAGGTGCGAACCTCGGAACAGAAGACATGCGATTCTCCCTGGCCCCCTGCCTGCAGTCTGGCCAGCTCCAGAAACCCTGAGTCCAAAAATGGTGACGACGCCTCACTTCTACTTCCGCCGCCTTCCGCCGCACTTTTTCCCCAGCTTCCACCGGTGGAATCGCCGGCGTGCTCCTTCCGCCGGGTTGCTCCCGCCTTCTGCCGGCATTCCGCTGGCTACTGACGAGGGCGAGGTGTGGAAGTAATGGGTCCTCTTCCTCATCTTCCACATCCTCCCCCTCGTCCCCCGTCCCCCCCCCCGATCCAACCGCCCCCTCTGCCCAGTGGTGCTTCAGCGGATCGGCCCATCCAAAACGGCCCTCGCTTCCCCCTCGGGAGCGGGTGCCCGCTCCACCACAACCAAGCGCTCCTTCCCACCTGCACGGCCGCCGATCAGGGTCAGTGTGGACCCCCCACGCCTTCCCTGTCAAAAATCTGTGGGGAGTGCACGTGGCGGCAAAGCGCCTTCGCTCTGCACGTTGCAACGGACGGCGGGGATTACATCTTAGAGTGTCCTGTGTGTATCGGCTCAGCCATCCCTGTCACGAACCGAAGCGAGTGAACGCAGATTCGCACAGTGGACGCTATTTCAAACACCCCACCATCAAGGTGGGGGGCAGCAATTGAATATTGTCCCCTGGCGCCCTTGGCGCGCGTGGTGTGCCTTGACGCACCTAGCTCACCTTGCGCATGTGGCGCGCGTGACGCCCTTGCGTACCTGGCGTCCTTACACATTGCTCACGGCTGTCCGTAAGATAGCGACGGCGGCAGATGGAGCCGACGTCATGGTCCAAGACGACCCTTGCATGCCCGGAATGGCCTGCATAATGGCTCAAGCTTGGCCGAGATGGCATGGAGCATTACAACAAGATGCCCCAGAAGCTCAGAAGATGACCCAAGAAGCCCACGGCTGCCGCAGGGTCGAGCGTGAGCAAAAGAACGTATCTCTACGGAGGAGAAAAGGGGAGAAGCCTGAGATGGGGCACTCTCGGCTACACGCAAGGAGTGATCCTGGACAAGAGTGACCTTTGGTGCGCGGCTTTCGGGGTGCCGTGGGGAAGCCGATTAGGAGCGCGCAAGCCGCTACAGTCAACCCGTATAATTAGGATGCGCGACAAGGATGCAAAGGCCTTGGAAGGCCATGTTAACGTTTTTCGAGCGGGGTTGGCCAGCGATTGTCGCTGAGGATGGGCCGAAATGGCAAGGATGCAAGGGTATCCTGGGGAAGTCGCTCATCCTTACTATGCAGGTTGGCTGTACTATCGCATCTCGCATCTCATTCGGCCATCTGGGGAGCCCTGTGTGCCCGCACCAAAGGTCACTCCGGCGAATGGTCACTCTTTCGTATGGCCGAGGAGGGTTGAGGAGGAACCCCTCGCCGCCGCCATTTCGTCTGCATTGCATCGTCATGCGCCAGCGCGCCCGGTTCTCACCCGTCTGCCTTTCGCGTCTGGGGGGGGGGACGACGACAAAAATCTGTCGCCAGCGTGCGCTGGCTGACACGTGCACTGGTCGCCCAATGCGAGGGGCGCAACTGGGGAGGGGAGATGAGGACGATAAGGATGAAGAGGAGGAGGAGGATGAGGAGGAGGAGGAGGAGGAGGAGGAGAGGAAGGTGTGGAGGGGCCTCCTCGCGTAAAGGGGAGGGGTGGAGGGGAGAAAGAGGAGGAGGAGGAGGAGGAGGAGGAGGAGGAGGAGGAAGAGGAGGAAGAGGAGGGGAGGAGGGGAGGAGGAGGAGGAGGAGGAGGAAGAGGAGGAAGAGGAGGAAGAGGAGGGGAGGAGGGGAGGAGGAGAAGGAGGAGGAGGAGGAGGAGGAGGGGAGGAGGACGGGAGGAGGACGGGTGGAGGGGAGGAGGAGGAGCGGGAGGAGGAAGAGGAGGTGGACCAATGCAAAACCAAGACTCATCAAAAATGTTGAAATACACCCTCCCTCCAAGATCCCTCCTCGTACGCCCCTACAAAGAGGACATTTCCACTGAGGGAATTACCCCGCTGGGATACAACCGTGTGAACATCTTGAAGCGTGCCAAAACACCATTCTCAAGATTTCAACGCCACGAACTGACCTGACTGTTTACGTCTGGGCGATCATGAACCGTGAACTGTGCCAGAATACCGTTCCTGGAATTTCAACACCGCTAATCAATGTAAATGTTGCTCCCTGACAAACCTGAATCGCTCAATATCACAAATTCTGGTACACTACTCATGAGAATCAATGCAACTCTGGCCAATGTATTCAACGAATGTGCGCGTCGCTAAGACGAGAATCACATTTTGAAAACGAACCGTCCTCAATCCGTGAAGCTCTTGCCATGTTCTACAAAGAATGCGCGCGGCGCTAAGGCGAGAGCCACATTTTGAAAACGAACCGTCCTCAATCCGTGAAGCTCTTGCCATGTTTAACAACGAATGCGCGCGGCGCTAAGGCGAGAGCCACATTTTGAAATCGAACCGTCCTCAACCCGTGTAGCTGTTGCAATGGTTTAAAACGAATGTGCGCGGCGCTACGGCGAGAGCAACATTTTGAAAACGAACGCCCTCAATCCGGAAACTCTTGCAAATGTTGAAACGAATGTGCGCGGCGCTGAGGAGAGAGCCACATTTTGAAAACCGCCCGCCCTTAATATGCGAAACTCTTGCAATGTTTGTTTAACGAATGTGCGCGGCGCTAAGGCGATAGCCAAAGTCTGAAGACGACCCGCCCTCCATCTGTGATGCTGTTGTCAACTGTTTAGCATCAGGGTCACAAATTGTGAGGAAGTCTCAGGCGAAACGCCCGTCCTACCCTTTCGACCGGCCTCGAGGTGCGACATGGAGGAGTGATCTGCAAGGGAAAGGAATGGTGGAGGAGGAGGAGGAGAAGGAGTGGAAGGGATGGAGAGACACGTGTGGCCTTCTCCACGGATCGCGCGCCGCCTCGTGTGGGCGGCTTCGGCGCTCTCCCACGCGCGCCGCAGACTGCGCGGGTGCTGGCGCCGAGGCGCGAGGGCACTCGAGACTCCAGCTCTCCGGGGCTCGCCGCCCATAAAACGAAGCCAAGACGAGGATCAAATCGGGCGAGGATGCGTGAGTCGAGAATCTCTGAGATCCGGCGGCTCTGGAGGAGATCTCGGGCGCCGCGGCCTCCTCGGAGCGTCCCGGAACGCTCTGGAACGGGCTTCCCCTCGTCCTACTCCTCCCCTTCCTCCCTCCTACTCCTCCTCCTCCTCCCTCCTCCTCCTCCTCCTCCTCCTCCACCTCCTCCTCCTCCTCCTCCTCCTCCTCCTCCTCCTCCTCCTCCGCCTCCTGAGGCCCAGCTCTCGAGGGCGGGGCCCCTCGACCAGCAGGGGGACGGAGCGTGGCCGAGGCCCTCCCGCGCCACGCTCCATCGGGGGCGCGCCGCGGGTCGGGGGCCTCGGGGCACCGCGGCCGCTCGGCGAGCCGTGGGCCGAGGGCCGCAAGCCAAGAGGAGGAGGAGGAGGAGGAGGAGGAGGAGGAGGAGTAGGGAGGAGGAGGGAGGGGGCTCGCTCACTTGACCGACGCGAGCAGCAGCAGTGCGTTGTTGATGCCCAGCTCGGGCATCCAGATGGTGAGGATGGGCATCAGCACGTTCTGGAGGGGGCCGATCCACTGCACGATCAGGGCGGTGCGCGGGTGGAACACCACCTTGCGCATGCAGTTGCGCCAGAAGGCCGGGCAGAGCAGCAGCTGGAGGGTCCTGCGCAGGAGCCGCACCCACGCAGGCATGGGGCCAGCCGCCGGCTTCGGCAGGCTCTCCGCCTCCACGCCGAGCCACAGGAACGCGCACGGATGCATGACGTCCAGTCCGATGAACGTCACGATGAAGATTCCAACGACGTCGGCATGGATCAGCAACTCGGTGAACCAGAAGAGAATGTGCGTCACGATCATCGCCAAGACCAACAAGAGCGTCCACCACTGCGTCATTGCCTTTGACACGGCCCCGCGGTCACCGCCAACCCAGTAGCTGATGTCCACTCCAAGCATCCTGTTCTTCAAGAAGTCAGATATTCCCATGACGATCGAGTAGGCAGTCAGCGGCGCGGTGATGTAGAACATCTGCGTGGTGCGCCAAATGTTCGTCAGGCTGAGGAAGAACACCTCGTTAGCCGCCATGCTCTGGTCCATTCGGTAGCGGCCGGTAGCGGAGATCACCATCGACCACGACAGCACCTGCATCATCCACGAGAAGAGCACCATGCCACTTGCCTCGAAGTGGTAGTACCTTTTGAAGTAAACGGCGTAGTAATTAAAACCCACCCAGAAGAATGCGGTCCAAAACCACAAGAAGTAGGTCAAATTATCCATCGTGATCAGCAGCCTCGCCCACTGTGCCAAGGAGGTCGGGAAACGAGTGCGGCGAAGCTTGCGCTTCCTCCCGCAGCAGGCGCAGTGATGCAGGTAGTGGGAGGCCATCGTTATTGTGGTGAGCACAACAAAGAAGAGGAGCATGGCAATGAGCCAGCCTTGAACGTTCAGGAACATGTCTATGAAGATATACTTGTACACCTCCTCCACGGCCCCGTAGGCCACGCACCAGTCCGAGAGCTGCGTGGCGACATCGACCATGGCGACGTAGAACAAGTCGCCGCCGAAAACGCGGAAACTGAACTCCTCGAGAAGGCCGGTGTAGCCGTACCCGTAGACCAGGTTTACTAGCGAGCCAATGAAGGAGAGGAAAAGGATGAAAGTCATCCAGATCATGTGGATCCCCTCCTCGCAGCCGAGGAAAGTCTGCAGAGAAAGGACGACGCCGCCCTCGGCCCAACGCTGCACAGCGGCCAAATAATCCACCGGGTCCTTCGCCATTCCGTACGCGAGGCGCCTGTTGATGTACTGGGAATGCTTGCCCTTGACCACACGGTCCAGACTGCTTGCAGTGTCCTCCACCTTGCAGCTCTCGTGAAAGAAGGTGTACTCGATGCACTGTGTGAAGCCCTGCCGCTTCATCTCGACCGACTCCATGTCCCAAATGCTGTCCGTGCCATGAATGCCCGCACGCCTGTCGCGGATCAGCCACGTGCCGCCAGTGCCACAGGAGCTGACGCCACCCGCGCAGTTCCTGAGCATGCAGTTCATACGGAAGAAGTTCGAGTTGTTCGTATCCAGGAAGTCGACATCGTCGGGCATCTCGGGGTAGTACTGGGGGCACTGCGTGAACGCGACAGACGTGTCCACCTCCTGCTCCTGCTCCTGCTGGGGGACCCAAAGAAAATAAACGTGAGGTCCGTGCGGATTTCTTGGATCCGCGCCGGCCTCTCCCTGGCGCGCGGAGCACTCCAGGGGCGGCGCTGGAGGCGCCGCCAGGGGGGCCCAACACAGATCCAAGAAACCCGCGCGGAGCTCCCATAAGCTTATGCTTATGCAGTTGTTTCCCCTGCGATCCTGGTCCTTGAGCTTCCTGAAGAAGAATGGGATCGTCTCGTGCATAAAGTCTGGCTGAAACTGGTGGCGGGCATCGGCGATGCTGAATAGGGAGTACTTGTAGCGCTCGGGCTCCAGGGCTTCCATCGCGGAGGGCGCCAGCTTCATGGAGTAGTCAAAACCGCTCACCCCCGCTTGCCAGGGTGAAGAGGCGTGTAAGACGTTTGGCTGTCCCCCTCCCCTTTCGACGCCCGAAGTGGGCACGATGCCCGACAACACATGTTGTCCAAGACCGACAGCGGCCGCTGTTGGGCAGGCGGCCTTCGGTGGCAAATGGACAAGGCCCAGGGCGGCACAAGCAACAAACCCTGTCCGAATGAACAAGAACTGCTGTCGGTCTTCGCACCTCGTCTTTACGTACCCATCTCTATCGTCCCCCTCCCCGTGGTTCCCCCTCCCCTAGGGCCCCAAATCCCAAATCCCGTTTTATAGGGCCCACGGGAACTCCCCGCCCAACCCCCCTGGCGGGGGCATAAGCTCCTCCACGCTTCAGAGCCTCCAAGTATCCAACCTCCAACGCTTCCAAGATGATCAAGATGCCCTACAAAGATGCCCCAGGAGAGCTCTGGCACGCCTGCATGGCATCAGAGAAGAACTCAAGAGGCCATAAGAGACCCACAGATACATCCAAATTCGTATAGCATGCTGCTTGATGTGTTGATGATCTCTCCTTATCGCTTCCAAGCACCTCCGAGTCGGTGGTGCATGAGACCTCCAAGAGGCTCCCAAACAGCCGGCAAAGATGCCGCCAAGATGGATTCAAAACTGCGGTTGAGGCTCCTGGCTAGCCTCCAAGACGGCCTCCAAATGGCTCGAGTACAACCCAAGATCGCCTCGCGACGGTCTCAAGACTCCCCGCACAGGCTCAAGACCCTCCAAAACAACCCGAAGATCCCCGAAGGAACGACAAGATGGCCCAAAAGAGGCCCCGAAAGCCCCAAGAGAGCCCGAAGAGAGTCACAGAGGGCCGAAGAAAGACCCCAAACGACTCCACGCCGTGCGCCACAACACTCACTGAATGGGAGTCTTGCGTGCCATTTTCCCCCTAGGGGCCAGACCCGCACAAACTTCGACACGCTCCTGCTCGTTCCTGCTCTTCCGACTCCTCCTCTTCCTTCCCGTGGCCATTGCCATCAGGGGACGGCTCAGTGGCGTAAGCCTCTTGAACAAATAGTTCTCCACGAAGTTGAGGCCTCCTGCCTTACCACGGCTCGTGCGCAGAGGGACCAGATCCGCCACCGTGCCATCAGCACGTTGGGACCCAAGGCGGCAGAAATGAGGACAGCGCATGACACCCTCACCTGTGAGAACCGACCCTCGATCAAGAGTTTGGAACCGCGATCGGCACGTTCAGGTGAATTGCGGCCATCATTTGCTAAACAGGTTTGGTGGACTCCGCCCACCCCCACCTGAAATAGCCGACCGCCGCCGCGAAATTAGAATTCTGGGCGGCTCTTGCAAGTGAGGGTGTCTGCCGTTGTTAATTAAAGACACTCCAGATGCCTCACGCCACTGAGGGAGCCTGACAGGTCGCACGAAGCCCCCAAGCGGCACCCAGGGGGCCCTCCAGCAAGGCCTTGGGAGGCCAAGACTAGGGCTCCCAACTTCGCGCTTCGCGCTCCGCGAAGCGCGAAGCGCGAATAACTTCGCGCTCTCGCGCCGCCCCCCCAAAGGGACAAAAAGGAGGACGAGGAGGAGGGGGAGGAGAAACGAGGACCGCGAAGCGCGAAGCGCGAATAACTTCGCGCCCTCGGGGGAGCCCTTGGAAAATACCTTGAGCTATGACCTCGCTTTGTTTTCGGACCGCGGACGGCCCGTCCGCGGACGACCTCTCGGGTGGCCCCAAGACGGCGCACGGCGTCAGATGGCCCGGAGCAGCCCCCAGCGCGGCCCGACGCCGCCCCCGGTGAGCCCCCATGACCTAGGGCTCCCAACTTCGCGCTTCGCGCTGCGCGAAGCGCGAAGCGCGAATAACTTCGCGCTCTCGCGCCGCCCTCCCAAAGGGAGAATAGGAGGACGAGGAGGAGGGGGAGAAGGAACGAGGACCACGAAGCGCGAAGCGCGAATAACTTCGCGCCCTCGAGGGAGCCCTTGATGACGGCCTGATAATCCTCCAGGCCAGTTCGAGACCGCCCGGAAGAGGCCCCAAAACAGCCTCCGAAAGACCTGGTCAGACAGCTCGAAGGTGTTTCTACCGAGCTTCTTCGCGAGAGCTCGGCAGAACGGTAGAACCATCACCAGGGCCACCAAGAGGATACCAATGTCCCCTCCACGGGCCCCTTAGAAGCCGTCGAGGAGAGCCCCAGGAGGCCCTCGAGGCTTCAAATAAGCCCCCGATAGTCATTCATGCAGCCGCAAAGCAACACCCATGCACCGCTACGGTCGCGCCACGCTATGACGGCATCGTAGCAGTGCTTCCATGTCGGCCCCAAAATGGATATATCGAGACTGTCCTGGAGAGCTCGAGACTGTCCTGGAGAGCTCAGAGGGATCGTATGGCATTATAAGAAGCAGCTACATACGCAGCTACATATACAGAAACTATAGAAGTTGTCGGAGGTCCGCGGGGATGTCTTGGGTCGGCGCTGGGCCCCCCTTCCCTGGCGCGCGAAGAAGCGCGCCAGGGGCGCCCTGGGGTCCAGCGCCGATCCAAGAAGTCCGCCTGGACCTCCGAGAGTTTATGCTCAAGCAACGCTGCGTGCCACTCGAGCCCTGCACTGAGACGAAGCCAAGACAAGGCTACAATCGGACAGGGATGCTCCGCGAATCTCTGAGATCCGGCGGCTCTGGAGGATGCATCGGGCGGCGCAGCCTTCCCAGAGCGTCCCGGAACGCCCTGAGAGCGGTCCGGATCGCTCCGGCACGCCTGATCCCTGTCCCAGCCCCGCCCGATGCATGCGTGGCCATGCTGCGCTGGCACCACGTGCGCGGCCTGCCGCAGGCTGCCGGCTACTTCTTCGTGTCGAAGTCCGCGTCGGTGAACTCCTGCGCGTGCCGGCGCCACTCGAGCCAGCTCTTCTGGCCCCGGGCCTCCTCCAGCTGGGGGACCTTGTAGTACCACGTCCCGCGGGCCACGTGCTGCACCTCTCCACGAGCGAGGGGCCCATCCACACGGAGAAATGCACCCTCGCGGCATGGGCACCGTGCGGGGTCCCAGGCGTGCGCGCTCCCGTGGACACGCTCCGCGCGCGCGGCCTCCGTACGGAGCCGTCCCGTGTCCGCGGGGTCGCGGCCACGGAGCCCAGACCGCGCGGCTGTGGAGCGGAGGTTTCGGCGGGGAGGTTTCGAGGGCGAGGCGGCCCCCGTCGGTCTTTCGGCTTCGGTTCGTGCCCCGCGTTCGGATGGGGCGAAGCTGCGCGAGGGCTGTGCCAGCGCAGCTAAGGCCAGGTCGTGCGACAACTTTCTCCTCCAATTGCGCGGTGTCTCACAATGGTTGTCCCGCGGTTGTCCCGTGGAATGTCCCGTGGTGGTCCTGCGGGCTATCCTGCGAGTTGTCCTGACGGGTTGTCCCGTGGGTTGTCCCGTGCTTGTCCACATGGAAATACAAATCGACGTGCACATCGAGTTGCAAACTATATGCAAATCGAAATGCGAATCGCAGTGGATCGCGAAGTGCAAATCGAATGCAGATCAACACGCAAGTCAAACTACAAAACTATGTTCAAATCGAAATGCAAATGCAGTTGCTGTCGACATGTAAAGTGACAGGTTATTCGGGACGCTGTCACATGATAATACAAATCGGAATGCACATCGAATGAATACCGACATGCACGGCTAGATAAACATTGGAGTGTCATTCGCAATAATGCTGTAAATATCTTAGCCAACGTGGGCCCCGAACAGTGCGTTTCTAGCAGTACATGAGTATCTCCCCCTCGCGCATCGCGGCTTAATTCGAGTTCGTATGCCCTACCAATCCCTATCCGCCAGCGCAGTCCCTCTGCCTAGCCGCCGACAAAAAAATGCGTCTAGCAATACATGGTGTGCAAACCATGCGGGGCAATCTATGTTGTGCACTATACGCGGTGCAATATATGGTGCGCAATTCACTTGCCGAAGTTGAAGCTGTCAACTCTACTGCTCGCGCAATCATCCCACCCACCCACCCGCAACTTGGTTCGCAAAATCTCTTAAGACCGTGACGGTGGGTACCAAATGGCACTTGGCAACGACAGCGACGCCGACGACGACAACGACAACGACGACGACGACGCCGCCGACAACGACTACGACGACACCGACGACGTCTCCAACGACTTCGACGACGCCGACAACGACGACGACGACACCGACGACGACGACGACGACAACGCCGACGCGACGACGACGACGACGATGACAACGACGACGACGACGATGACGACGACGACGACGACGACACACGACGACGCGACGACGTCACGACGCCGACGACGACGACAACGACGACGACGACGACGACGGCGGCGACGACAACGCCGACGTCGACGACGACGAAGACGACGAAGACGACGACGCCGACGACGACGACGACGACGTCGCCAACGAAGACGACGACGAGGGAGGAGGGAGGACGACGACGGCGACAACGACGACAACGACGACAACGACGACAACGACGAGGGAGGAGGGAGGACGGCGACGACGCGAACGATGAAGAAGGAGGAAAGACGGTGTGAAACGAAACATTGTTGAAAATCCGTGTTGCGAAACCTTGTGTTTTGTAGGTTTTTTGGAAACACGATGTTGAAATCCTTCCGAAACCGATGGGTTTTGGAGGATTTCGGCATGCGCGCGCGATGGCGCGCGCGTCTGCACTTCATCCCATTTGTTGCAGAGGATTCTCGCGACGGCACACGCGCAAGGGCGTTCGACAGATTTCGACATGCACGCGCGCACAGCCTGTTTGGTAGCAGTTTGTGAAATCCTTGAAAAACCGATCGTTGTTCCTAAGATTTCGAAAGAGCTCGCGCGTAAGTTGTTTTAGCAAACCAGTGTTGCGCAACCCTGTGTTTTTGTATGCTGTTTGGAAACTCGATTGCGAAATCCTTCCGACACTGAAAGTTGTTGTAGGATTTCGGCATGCGCGCGACGGCGCGCGCGTGCGCGGTTCGTCCCATTTGTTGCACGGGGTTCTTGAAAAAGTGTTATGCTCGAGCAAAAGATGTCCCTGTATATCGTTTGTTTTCGTTTTTTTAACCAGGGAACCTCAGAGGGGGTCGATACCGGAAGAGAACATCAACTTCTGTTCGCAATGACATGTCCAATCCAACGCTCGCGCAAACATCCCACCCACCCACCCGCAACTTGGTTTGCAAACCTCATGCGGCGGCGATTGTGATGATTGCTTGGCGCTGGCTGGTGCATCTCTGCGGCCGCGACACCCCGCGCATGCGCGCGCGCACCGGCCAGGTAGTTTGGCGCGACCGACGAAGCCGCGGTGGTGCTGACCGCTCGGCGCACCCCAACGGGCATTTGAGTGCGAGTCGGCGGCTTGGGCGGGCGCGGTATCATGGCAACGTCGACAGTTGTAGACACGATGACGATGATAGTGGCGATGTTGGTGACAACAATTGAAACATGATGATGGTGATTGTGGCGATGACGGCGCCGATGCCGATCACGCCGACGACGATGACGGCGTCCTCGCGTCGGTAATGAAGGTTTTGGAAGGCATTCGAAATGCGCGCGCGGCAGACGCGCGAGAGTGGCTCGCATGGTATTATTTAACACGGATCGTGCCACCCCAGCACGCGCGCAAGGGCGTTCGAACGATTTCGACATGCGCGCGCGAAGCCCGCTTGGTAGCATGTTATGAGCGTGTTGGAAAACCGATGGTTTTCTTAAGAATTCGCAAGAGAGCGCGCACGCGTTTGTTGAAAACCTGTGTTGCGAACCCCTGTGTTGTTATTATGTTTTTTGGGCACTCGATTTTGACATCTTTCCGAGCCCGACGGTTTTCAAAGAATTCCGGCATGGGCGCGCGACGACGCGCGCGCGTTCACTTCGTCCTGTTGTGCGCAAGGGATTCTCGCGACGGCACGCGCGCAAGGGCGCTCGAACGATTTCGACATGCGCGCGCGAAGCCCTATTGGTAGCATGTTATGAAAATGTTGGAACACGCATGGTTTTCTTAAGAATCCGCAAGAACGCGCGCACGCTTTTCTTGAAAAACCGCGTTTCGAAACCATGGTCTGTTAATGCTTTTCGGACATCCAATTTTGAAATCCTGCCGAAACCGGAGGTAGTTGGAGGATTTCGGCATGCGCGCGCGACGGCGCGCGCATGTGCACTTCGTCCCATCTGTTGCAAGGGACTCTTGAAAATTATGATTTGTGATTAACGAATGCGGGCGCATAGCACTCTTTGCAAAAGGAACCGAGGGGGGGTGATACTGGACTGGATGGGGTGATATGAATTCACAGGTAGGATGGACAGTGGGTCTGGATCCTCTGTGTTTTACATCGGCCCCCGGCGAGTAGATAAGCCTGGGGGGGGAGAGGGGGGTATAATATATATTAATATATATCATGTTTTCATTATTTACATATATAAGTGAGAACACATGCTGTGCAACCTGCGTGGTGCAATAACTGCTGTGAAAAATCTGATGCACTATATGTGGAGAAAAGAATACAGCGCAGCGTATGTGCTGCAATTCACGGTGCGCAATCCACTCTGCTGAACTTGAAGTCGTCATCTCCACGGCTCGCGCATGCACCCCACCATCCCACCCGCAACTGGTTTGGCAAAACTCATGATGCGGGGGGCGGCGGCGCCAAAGATGACGACGTCGACGATAGCATCCTCACTGCCGATGCTCGTCACCGTGAATCGATGATGAGGGTGAGCATATCGACGATGCTCGGACGTGCGCAATGACAAGAAGACGTCGGCAACGTCTGCGACAATGACGAAGATGGCACCAGCGACGACGATGTTCAAGAGGGCGTCGGTACGAACGATAACGGCGCCAATGATGGCAAAGACGCTGACGATGCTGATGTCCATTTGTCGATGACGCAGGTGATCGCGGTGATGCTGACAAGATTGAAAACGACATGCACGCGCGGAAGTTCAACATATCCGTCTGGTCGGTCATGCGCGCGCGGCGGTGCGCGCATGCGGCCCGCGCGGTATCTTCTGCGAGGGACTCGCGCCCTCGGCGCATGACAGGAGGCACCGCGCGGTGACATGAAATCGCTGGATTTGACAGATGTCTTCTTTTTAAAATAATTATAAAAAGAAAAAACCTATGGTTGTTGCATGATTTTAACATGAGCGCGCGGACAGGAAATTTGCGAAAATGCGGTTGCAAAACCAATGGGTGTTTTAGGTTTGTATGCTGAAATGCTTGCAAACACATTTTGTTTGGTATGATTTTGACATGGGCGCGCGCGCGATGACTTTGTGGCATTTTTTTGTTTGCAAGGGATTTTTGAAAACTTATGAATTGTGATAAACGACTGCCCGCGCATAATTTTGTTGCAGAGGATGGCGGCGGGGGGCCGATACCGGCCTGGCTGGGGCAGTACGAGTGCATATTTAGGATGGACGACGGGGCAGAATCGCACGCATATTGCACTACGAATAGGGCGACCGTTAACTCCGGGTGGGGGGACAACGACGAGGGAGGAGGGAAGACGACGACGACGAAATAGGAGGGACGACGACGAGACGCTGACGACGGACGACGACGACGACGACGAGGGAAAAGGAAGGACGACCACGGCGACAACGACGACGGAATCGACGACGATGCCAAAGAGGACGACGACGACGACGAGGAAAGACAGAGGACGACGACGGCGGCGACGACGACGAGGAAGGAGGGAGGACGGCGACGACGACGACGACGACGCAAGAGCGCGCGGGCACGCGTTTGTTGAAAACCCGCGTTGCGGAACACGTTGTTTTTTTGCATGCTTTGGCGACACTCGATGTTGAAACCCTTCCGAAACCGAAAGGATTTCGGCATGCGCGCGCGGCGAGACGCGCGCGTGCACTTCGCCCCATTTTTGCAAAGGGTTCTCGCGACGGCACGCGCGCAGGGGCGTTCGAACGATTTCGACATGCGCGCGCGAAGCCCGTTTGGTTATATG